GGTATACATGTAAATCTACCCATGCAACATTGGGACACACTTATGCCAAAAGATTATCTGCCATTTGTCTCAAATTCCTATTTAACGCGTGTCCTGTGTTTTATTCGGCAGCCCTCTCCCCTTTCTCCCTCCCAAATGTCTCTCACCTCCGCAGCGCCCCCACCTCCCACCCGAACCTCGTCTGCCCCGGCCTTCCTGCCTCCGGTTCCTACTGGCTGCAGCCTTTGTTTTTGCTGCTTTTTGGTTTTATTTTTCTGTCACAAGTGCAATGCGTGTTCACTACAGAAAAATCACAGGCTACAGTCAAGCACCGCGGAGAAAGTAAGAAAACACGCTAATCCACCCACACAGAGACAGCTACTGCGAGCTCCCCGGGGAGATTTTTCCAGAGCTGCGTGTGTGTGCGCGCGTGTGTGTGTCGCTGCAGACGTTGGAGCAGAGCGCGCACACTCACCGCCCAGTTCAGACTCGCTGTCCTAGGAGCTGCGTTTTCATGGAACCCCGGGGCGGGTGCGGGGCGGGGGGGCGGCGGCGGCGCTGTGTTGCCAGCCTCAGCGCCCTGGCCCTCTCCGCCGCGGGGGGAGGGAGGCTGCAGGGCCTGAGGTGACGCCCGGTGCCAGGGTCGCCGAGGCCTGCGCTCAAAGTCCTTTCTAGAGCGTGACCTTTGTGCCCCAGTCTGCGCGGCTGCCCTAACCAAGCACCACAGGCTGGGCAGAGGTGGGGCGGGGGGGGGGGGGTGTGGGTGGGTCTGGAACAACAGAAAATGGCTTCCTGACAGGTCCGGAGGCCGGATTCTCCTGGGGCCTCTGTCTTGGGCCTGCAGGGGCTGCCTCCTCCAGCGCCTTCCCTTCCCGCGGTCGCCTCTGTGTGCACGACTGCGCCCTCATCTCTTCTTCGGGTAAGGACGCCAGTCCTATTGGCTTAGGGCCCGGCCCCAGGACCTCATCCTGCCGCACTCACTCCTTCAGAGATTCTCTCTCCCAATAAGGGTGCAGCCTCAGGGAGCAGGGGTCGGGAGTGCCACACGCGGTTTCGGAGGAGGGCGCACGCGATTCCGCCTCACAGCTCGGCCCAGCCGCGAGGCCCCATCAAGCCTCACCTTCCTCGGCCCTGGTGCGGGCCTGATGGCCGAGGTCCCCGGAGGAGGATGTTCGGATGACCAAACCACGTGCTCCCGCTGCAGCGCCTGGCCCACCGCCCGGCCCCAGAGCAAGTGCATGGGTGTCATTTCTTACTGCCACACCCGTGTGGGGTCCCATGCCCGGCACGTGATCCTCCTGCAGACGGATGTCAGGACGATGCAAAGGGGAGGCCAGGGACCTCTTGGCCAGTGTTTTGTTCCTTTCCTTCAGGTGAGCACCTGGAGGACAGCTGCTGGGTCCGGGGCCGGCGGGGTGGGGGTGCTGGCCCGGCCCCTACAAGGGCAGCCATCCCGGTCAGCGAAGGGCGGCCGGCTGTGCCCACAGGCCCCGTTCGCAGCGGCCGCACGCCCTCTCCCTCCCTCTGGCTTCCCCCTTTCCCAGGCTGGGGCCCAAGGCTCCTCTAGGATCTCCCCCTCCTCCCCCTCCTCCCTGCCCCCCTGCTTTGCAGCCCACGAGGGGCTCCCTGCTTTCGGAACATGTCTTTTCCCCTCGGGCCTCCAAGGCTCTGCCCCGGCAGTACCTCCACCCAGCATGCCCTTCCTTCCAGGTCTTCCTGGAGGAGGCGCTGTGCCTCCCGAGGGGCAAATAAGACCTTCACTGTCAACTCGTGTCACGCCCGCCTCCCTCTCCCTGCCCCGGGTTAACCCGGGGACTGTGCTGACGGAGGACCTTGGAAATCCTAGCGGTGAGGACAAGGGCAGACATGAGCTCCTCCCGCGGAGGGGGTGTGGGCTCAACCCCCGGACGGCGCCGGCACAAGTTGTCCGGCTCTGCCCGCACGTGCGGACGGCGGAGAGGACGCCGGGAGGGGAATGGCCCCTGCAAAGCGCGGGGGCGGGCGGGTGATCACCCAACGCTGCCGCGGCGCCTGGTTATGGAGCCCACCTCTGAGGACGCCAGGAGGTGACGTAGTGGAGCCTGGGAGGAAACACCCAACGGCTCACAGGGGCCACCCCGGACGGGGGTAGAATGGAGGCTCCAGGGTGGAGGCTTTTGAACATTCCAAACATGTCCGATCCCTCAGGAGAAACTCATTTCACGTGGACCACCTGTGGGTGCGCTGCCGCACACAGGTGAAACAGTCTCCAAGGCTGCAGTGATCCTTGGTGAAACATACGTTGTGTTCATGTTGTGCTTATTCCGTTTCTGTTCAGACACTGGAACAGAAACACCCAGGAAGGTGGTTCCTGGGCCCCCTGCTGGGTCCCCACCTGCAGTGTAGAAAGCCCTGCTCTCAGCAAGGCTGGCACTTTCGGCTCTGTGCTCTCCTCTATTTAAAATTTACTATTGAGGATGGATTTGGGTATCATCCTCATGTTTTCACTTATAAATAGAGAGTGCTGGGAAACTATAAAACAATAAAATCAAGTAGGATTTCTGGGAGGTGGTTTAGGGAAATAGGGCAACGTTGACATCTCTAAAGACCCGCTCGTGCCTTCACAGAACGACTTCGCCTCAACCAATGGGCACGCAGAACCAGGAGCTCGGCCGGGCACCCGCGGGACGCAGGCTGCTGGGGACGCGGTTCCGTTCCCGGGAGGACACCGCCCTCACCCCCCCGCGGGCCCGGCCCTGGCGCCCACAGGACGGACTAACCGACGGGGGAGGAGGGGTAGCAGGAGTCAAAAGGAGGTGTCAGGCTTCGGAGGGCGAACCCCGCTCTTGTTTTTAAACATACGTCTTTACAAGTATGTGGACCAGGACGAGGCGAGTTTGAAAGTGCACACAGGGAGGTCGCCTCCGGTTGGTTTTATGTTCTACCGACTTTTCTGTGATTTGGACAGTGAGCGGGCATTGTTTTTTATAAGGAGGGGAGATTTTAAAGGAAAAGACATAGAAAGAAAGAAGGCGAGCAAAGAAAGAAAGAAACGGAACAAGGGAGGGGAGGAAGGGAGAGAGGTCGAGGCGGTGGGGGTGGCCGCGGTGCGCCAGGATGCTCCAGGGGCGTCGAGCGCCCCGGCGGCAGGGCCGCGGGTTCCAGCGCTCAGCGCCCCGAGCTCTGGCCCTGGAGCCGGCCTAGGCCCGAGGGCGCAGCAGCTTCGCTGGGAGCAGAGGTCGTTCAGCTGGGCCCCCAAGAGCCAGGCACGTCCGGAGAGCGCCTGAGCGCGCAGTGGGGCCCCGCGCCGGCCCCTGACTGCCCGGAAACGCCCTCTGCTTCCTCTCTTCCCCCCAAACCCCGACTCGGGCCAGCGCGGGCCGGAGCTGGGGCGTCCTCCCCAGCGGCTAGATGGTACCCGCCGCTCGCTCCGTATTCTTCCTGGGGGTTTGGGGTGAAAAGCAGCGCGCAGGAGGAGGGGGAGGGGAGGGGAAGAAGAAATACCATCTGTGCCAATTTTTTTCTTAAAAGTTATTTTTTTTCCAATTTAAATACTTTCAAAGAAGGAAACAAGAAAGAGAAAAAGAAAAGAAAAACCCCCCACCCCCCAGCCCAGGGTATCAGTTTCAGAAAGTTGTCACGGAGGAGCGGCGTGGAAGCGGCCTAGGTGGTTAGGGCCGCTCTCGTCCCTGCCGCCGCCGCGCCCCGGCTTGCCCGCGCAGACCCCTCCTGAGTGCACGCGCGCTCGCGCCCCGGCGCCTGCGGACACTGTCCCCCTGCCCCCACCTGGAGGCCCCGGGTTCCCCAGCCAGCGCGCTTCAGCCGCCCCGCTCCCCTGGCCCCGGACCGGGGACTCTCGCCCGGGCGCTCTCCTTTCTCCTCCCGCCCGCTCTCCTGCCCCAGGTGTGGCTCGCAGAGGGAGGTGCAGGCCCAGTGGCCCCCTAGGTCCCGACGTCGCCCCCACCTCGGGGGCAGCGGGGAAGCGGGCGAGGCGGGGTTTGCATGAGAGCGCCTGGCCTCGCCTGGGGGTGCGCATTTGTGCCAAACGCCGCGACCCCCTCCTCCCCAGCCCCCGGACCCGCAGCGGCCACCCCCCTCTTTCTGGCCTCTCTCTGTTCATCCTCCCCCTTCTCCTCCGCTCCCCAGGGCTTTGGGGATTGTGGTGGTTTGGCTCGAACTCGGGGAAGCTGAAAAGGGGCAGGGACAGGGGGGTCCCGGGGAGGGGGGGCGCACTCCGCGCCACCCCAGCCCCGCAGTAGGTGCTGCTGCTGGTGTGATGGCGCTGCGCCGCCGCGCTCCCGCCCCCGACACCTCGCCCTCCGCCGCCGCCGAGAGCCTGGCCAGCCCGGACTTCCGCGGACCCGAGCAGCCCGGCGGGGATGGGGGAGTGTGGGGGGCAATTTTGCAGGTGCGGAAAGGGGGTCAGGGAGCAGCCAGGTGCTGGAAGCGGGGCTACGGAGGAGCCAGGTGTGCAGAGGCGCCCGCGTGGCCGGGAGTCCGCCCTACCTGGTCCAAGGCTCCCAGGGCGCCCCCCCCTCGCCGCCCCCAGACACAGCTCCCCTTCCTGGAACAGTGGGACGCAGGGAGAAGTTAGACGCGCTCCTGCGGGGCAGCTGGAACTGTGTGTGCGCGCGGGTGTGTGCGTGCGCGCGCGCGCCCGCGGCGGCAAGTGAGGACCCCCGTGTTTCCGCGTCTCCCCAGCCTCCCTCCAGGACCCCGCCCGGCTCTGCCTGTTCGCTCGTCTCCGGACCCCAAGTTCCCCACCCCGGGTACGTGCGTGCATGTGCGCGCGCCCCGGGCACCGCCACAGACCCTTTCTCTTCAGGTCCCCCGCCCCCGCGGTCCTCTGGCTGCCTGGCTCCTTCCAGCCACCCTCCCCCCTGGGGTCACTATGGGGACGCGAGGGAGAGATGTGTGTTTAATTCCCGCCGCTATTCGGGGGAAAGAAAAATAAAGGGACCAAAGGCAACCCGAAAGCAGTTTAATTCAAGCCTTTATTATTGTAACGTAAAAGAAGTTTATATACAGGGAATATTTCCAGCAAAACACTCACCAACTGTCCTTCATGTCAGGGGCCCCCACCTCCCGGCCCTGCAATGCCTAGCGCTGCCTAGAGGGCCCCTCACTGGGGGTCTCCAAGCTCTTTCCCCCCACTCCTGCCCCTCCACCCCGGCCAGCCAAACCCAGTTTCCCGGGAATAAGCCTCTTACACGTCCTTGGGGCGCTGGGACCGCCTCGCCAGTGCCTCTTGAGCCGCCCTCCTCTGGCTCCAAGACAGCCCCCGACCTCCCTTTCCCACCCGGTTGATGGGGGCTTCCCCACAGAAACCCAGAGCTCTTTCCCCCGCTGGTTTTAGGCTCTGCTGCGACCCCCTGCAGTTCAGAAGCAGCTCGTGGTCAAGACCAGTTAGAGACAGCTCGTCATCAGCAGCGGGGCTCCAGAGCGCCCAAAATAAGGGGGGGAAACAACCCTGCTCACCTTTCCCCATCCCAAGCCCCCCTCCCTGCCTTAGGGACAAGACACAAACACAGAAGCAGCGGGGCGTGCCCCCGCTGAGCGAGACAGGTGTGGGTGCCAGGCAACGAGGGTGAGCTGTGCAGCGGGGCTGGGACCCAGCTGCGCCGGGGCGGAGGGTGCAGCCCAAGTCTCTTTGGGGGGGGCTGCCAAGCCCGGCTGAAGGTGTTGGCTCTTCTCTCTGGAGAGGGGGTGCAAAAGAACACGACAGAAGCTTCTGCAGGACAAGTCCACGGGCATGGAGACCAAGGGCGGCGCAGCACCCACACTCGGGAGGGGTTTGGAGCCAGCCAGGCAGGTACAGTCACAGAAGCAGAGGGGGCAGGCGGGGGAGAGTGTCCAGGTGGCTTGGCTGAGGGTGCAGACCCAGCCTGCGATCGGTGGCCCAGCACAGCTGTGTCACGGAGCCCTCGCCACACCTGACTTCGTTTGGGCCCTTTGCACGTGGTCTTCGAAGACTCGAAGGCAGGGCCCTCCAAGTTCGGAGCACTGTCCCTGCGTTGCCTACACTCGGCCTGGCAGAGCGCTGCGCAGCTGCTGGTCGTAGTGCTCCAACCAGGTGCGCAGCTCGGAGACCTGGTAGCCGTCCGGGCCGCGGCCGCCCTGGTACATGATGATGCCACTCTGGACGACGTAGAGGCGCTCGAAGTAGGCGCCGTAGGCCGAGCTGCTGGAGTTGGCCATGGTGTCGAGGACCAGCGCACAGCCCGGCACACCCCGCTGCAGCACGCGGGCGGCGGCGACCCGGTCTTCCAGGCTGCGGTGCTGCGGGATGCTGTAAGGGGTGTCTGTGGTCACCCAGCCGTCGGAGGGGTGTGCCTCCTCGATGTAGATGATGAGAAAGTCCACGTCGCGCTGGTACTTGGTGACCAGGCGCTGGAAGGCGCTCATGCGCGCCATGAACGGTGGTCAGGTGCAGCTGCCGAAGTTGAGCACCAGCGGGCGGTTTCCCTGCGCATAGTCGAGGATGTGCTGGTACTGGAACCCCTCGGGCAGGACCACTTGGGAGTTGGGTGCCGGGCCACCCTCGTGCGCCTGCTTGAAGAAATCCAGCTTCTGGCCGTGCCACACGGCCCGCAGCGACGCCAGAGTGCACAGACGGTTGTCGTCGGACACGCAGATGGGCGGGTCGTCGGGGGGCACCTCCTCTCCCTCACTGTTGAGCTCTACCTCGGGTTCGGGCTGACCCCGGCGCCTGCGGCCCAGGAAATGCTTGCGGATGCACAGGAAGTCCAGCAGCCAGAGCATGAAGGCCGTCCCGAGGAAGCGCGGGAACAGCACGAGGCACGAGGCGGCCTGGGCGCAGAGCCTCAGGGAGTGAAGCAACAGGGAGCGGAGCATGGTGGCCGTGGCCCCCCGGGCCCCCTGGGACCCCCCACCCTCTCCCCGCACCAACCGCGGGGCGGCCTGGCCAGGCATCTGGCGGAAACTGTGCAGGGAGCTCAATTTATAGCCGAGGCTTCACTTGGCGGGAGACTCCACCTCCGGCCGGGCCCGCCCCCTTGCAACTTGAGCCCCGAGAGATGCCCCCGCCGCGCGGCGCGGCCAATGCCTTAGAAATCGCGGGCCCGGGGCGGGCGCTGGCGGCCGGAGGGCGGGGCGGCCGGGTTGGGGGCCGGGCCACCGAGCGGGCTCTCGGGGGCGGGGTACCCCGCCGGGGATGCCGCCCGGGACGACGAGCTGGACCAGGGACCCAGGCGTCCGCCGTGGAAGTCCTCCGGTTAGTGCGAGCGCCGGCGCGGTCGCGGCCCCTGCAGCCTGGCCCCGGCCCGCGCCCCTCTCGCCGCGCACCTGAGCGGGGCTCTCCGGAGAGCGCAGAGCCGCGCCGGAGCTCCGGTTCGCTTCCCGCGCGCCGCCGCCGCCAACGCCGCCCCCGCCGCTGATGCTCTTACGGTTCCGCTGCCCAGGTGCTGCCGGAGCCCGTGTCCGCGGCCGCCGCTTCGCCGGTCCCTTCTCCCGCCCCGCCAGGGGCGCGGGCCCGCGAGGAGGCAACTTTGGGTCCCCGGCGCCTTCCCTGTTCGCCCGCGGGTGCCGCTCGTCTGCCGGAGCCCGCTCGCCCGCTCGTCTCCCGCGCGCGCTCACACTCGCGCCTCGCACACGGCCACCCCCCGCACGGCCCCGCCACGCACACCGCGCTCTGCGCCCCCCGCCGCTGCCCGAGGCGGCCGCGCGCGGCCGCGGCCCCGGCAGCGCCCGCCCCGTCCCATCGCGCCCCTGCCCGGCGCCGTTGTTCTCGGGTCAGCGGCCTGGGGCGCAGCGGGAAGGTGCGGAGGGCAGGGCCCGCGAGACGGTGAGCGCCCGGCGCTGGAGCCGGGAGGGCTGGGAAAGCGGCGCGGTCCCTGCGCACAGCCAACCCCGGAGCGCTCCGGGCGCGGGGCGCGGCGGGCGCGGGGCGCCGGGCATGGGCGCGGGGCGGCGGCGGCCCCGGCGGCTCTCCCACTAGGGGTAGCTGTTGCCTGAACGCCGGAGCGCTCCCCTCTCGCCGCTCGCCGCGCCCGGCGCAGCCCCGGCCGCCGGGCGCACCCGTCCCGTGCGTCCCCGGACGTTGCTCTCTGCCCCGGGAACGTCGAGACTGGAGCGCCCGAGCCGAGCCACCTTCGCCGACCGCGAGCGCTACGGCTCGACTCACCGCGGAGGCGCCAGGACGCGGAAAGTGCGTACTCTCTCCACCGGGGACGTGTTTAGGTTTTAGGGGTGCGGGGCAACTCCCCAACTCCGCGGAGCCCTGCTTGGCCTTGCCTCCACGTCCTTCTGAGGGCTCGCTCGGCGCGGGGCGGACGACTCGGTCTCCGGGGCGGCGGGGCGGCGGGGCGGGGAAGTGCCTTGACCTGGGGTCCCCGAGGCTGGGAGCAGGTCCCGCTTCGCCTCGGCCTGCCCGCGCGCGGTCGCGAGTGATTTGTGTCGGGTCTGGGGACTCGGGCCGCCCGGGACGCCCTCGCAGCCGCAGGGACTTCCCCGGGGTGGCGGCGGCTGAGCCCTTGTCCGGAGCCACTACCGCTGCGTCCCGCGTCCCGCGAGCCGCCGGACCTGGGACCAGCCGCCTAACTTCTTCCCGGGACGGAGACCTCGCTTGCGCCCCGCCCGAGGTGGGAGCTCGCTGGGCCGAGAGGGCGAGGGCAAAGCGCTCGCGGCCGCAGCGGCGAGGAACCAAGTCCGAAGTTAACCGCAGGGCAAGAAGCCTGCACCCGGCACCCAGCGGAGCCCAGCGGGACGCAGCGGGCGCGGGGGCGTTCGACTTGGACTCAGGTGCGGAGGTCCTCCCCTCCAGTTTCGTGGCCTTGGCGGGACCCTCTGCCCCGTGAGCTCCGCAGACTGCGGCTCCAGCAGGACAAAACCCTGAGGGGAAGGCGGCGGGCGGGGGTGGGGTGTGTGGAGGGAGCCCTTTTCTTTCCTTCCCGGCCAGGCAGTTCTCTGCGGCCTGGGGCAGGGGCGTAGGGGTTGCACAGCCCGGGGACTCCCCGCCCAGAGGGAAGCCAGCCCGGCCCTCTCCTGCTCGGGCGAGGGCGGGGGCCCCGCAGCACCCTGGCAGGGTCTTCCCGGTGGGTTAAGGGATCCTCCCTGAGCCACCCGGGCTGGAACTGCGGCACCGGGGCGTGGGGGCGAGGTGGGGCCAGGTCCCATTCCTCTGCCCCCTTCCCACAGGCACCTCCGTGTTAGCAACTTGTTTCCCTTCCTTGCTTTTATGGTTCTTTTTTTTTGGGGGGGGGGTGGATAATAGGGAGAGAAAGCTACTTGGCAAGTCTCTTGAGAGAGTTGGAGGCTTGGGGTTCCACCTCCTGGGCAGGCACAAGAGGGGTCCCCACTTTTGCTGGACCAAATCTCAAAGCCTGATTCCTTGATGTCTGGGGGGTGGCAGTCAAGGACCTGTCCTGACCCCTTCCACACAGGAGCTGGGACGGGGCCGTGGTGCTGTACCCCCGTCCCCGCTCCCTCCACGTTTAGTTCCAGAACATGAAAAGCCAGCTTGGGCCGGGAGAGCCCGCGTGCTGCCTGGGATCTGGCGGCGGCCCACCCCACGCGGTGTGTGTGTGGGAGGAGTAGCCTGGGGCAGACGTGAGACTGGCCCCTCCGGTCCCCTTTGTGGGTGCATCCAGCCCAGCCCAGCCCGCAGCCTGGGGCATCCCCCTGCCCCCCGCCCCCCCAGTCTCGGCTGTCAGCAGCTCCGGGGAGCCCGCTCTGTCCCTTGTGCCGCCAGGCCGCACCCCACACCGTGGGGCTCCAGAACGTCGCACAAGGTGCTCAGGCCCACCTGGCTCCTGCGGCCCCTTGCCCAGGTGAGGATGGACTCGAGACCCAGGTGGTGCTGGCCTTTGGCTTTGGGGACACAGATCCCAGCTGGGGGACTTACTCCAGGGCTTCCGGTCCCCTCCTCCTCTCTCCCTCTCCCAAACCCTCTTTCCTCCCCAGCAGCCCCTGCCCCCGAGCCCAGGCAGCGCCCGGCTCACCTGGGACCCAGCCCTTCCTGCTGGCTGGCCGTCCTGACCTCGCCTGTGGGGGCCCAGCAGCGCACCCGCGGGCACCGGGCCTCCTGCAGAGGGCTGGCCTGGTGGGCCGGGCAGGCTTCGCCCTGGGCGTCCAGTGTTGCAGCTGGGGCTGTCCCCTGTGCCTCTGGGACTGGCTAGGCCTGTCCCCTTCCTCTCACAGCTCCAGTGGGGGGAGCGGGGTAGGGGGCACAGTTGACCTGGCTCCGTTTGCTGTGGAGCCCAGGAGCGACTTGAGAAGGGGCTGGTGCCAGGGGAGTGCCGGGCTTTGGGTGGGCTCCCTGTCTCCTAGACTAGCCTGGGTGGGGAGCGTCTCCCTGCAAAAGGGAGGGCTGTGCCCCGGCCCCTCCCCCACACTGCCCCGTGGGGCTTGGTGGGTGGTTGTGCGGTGGGCACAGCCCCTGTCTCCCTCCTGGCAGAGTGACTCCCTGTGCCCAGCGCGGCCGGCGCTGAGACTTCATGGTGTGGGCAGGGCGCCCTGCGGGAGGGCCTCCTGAGGCTTCCGGGAGGGGAGGTTGCAGCCTGAGCTGCGGGCATGCGCTAGCCATGCCCATGGCCTGCCCGGGAAGACCCGGCTGCGCGAGCTGCGGCCCTCCTTGGTCACTGACCCTGTCTTGTCTTCCTCACCCCCCCGCCCCCCGGCCTCTCGATGCGCTGGGCCTCCACGCATGCTGTTCCCTCACCTTCTGCCTCCCTGGTGCTTCTCGTTCCCCCTCCTCCTCCTCGTCCTCCTCCTCCTCCTCCTTCTCCTCCGTGCCTGCACCCCCCACCCCCCCAGGCCCAGCCTACCTGGCGGCCAGAGGGAGCTGATCCTTCCCCCCAGCCTCCCGCCCCCACCCCGTGCCCCACTGTGTGTCCACGGCCTCAGCCGGGGTGGGATTCGCCACCGCGCTCTGTGTCTGCTGCTCCAGCCCAGCATCTCCCCTGCTGTCTGGCTGGGTCCTCCGCAGTGACCACTTGAACCTGGCCCCTGGGAGATGCTCAATAAACCTTTGTGAGACACATTGACGAGTGCAGTGTGGACTTATTGAAAACCTGTTGCAGGAGAAGTTCAAGGTGTTTCCTTCCACTCTTTGGCGCCCCAGCGGCGGCAAACAGGGCAGGGCGTTCGGGCAGCTGGGGCTGAGCGAGGTCTTCCCGGCCCCGCGGCGGTCCTCGGGGAGGCCCTCCCGGCCTGCCTGTCTCCCTTCCTGGCTGAACAGGTGCCCTCACGGCACCTGGCCCTCCCACGCTCGCACCTGCTCGCCCTTCTCATTTGCTTCAAGACTGATTTCTCCTTTGCCAACTCCTTCCGCCTCTCCTGACCCCAGCTTGGCCGACTGCACAGGTGGATGCCCTGCAGGGGGCGGTGACAGCTCAGGGCTCAGTGCTCTGGTCTCAGAGGTGTCGTCGAGACAGCAGGTTTCTGTCCCTCTTCAGGCCCCAGCGGGCCCCCTCCAGGAGCGAGAGGGACAGTGGTGTGGACCACGGGGCCCTGGGGTGGGTGGGCAGCTGGGGGCCAGGCCGGCAGAGCTTGCCGGGGCCTCGGGGCGTGGGGGGAGCAGGGGCGTTGCGGCTGCCTTCCTGGGGTGGGGGAAGCCCGGGGCTCCGGCCAAGGAGGGGAGCGGGCCGGGAGGTGATGCCCTGGCAGCCTGCTGTATGACCTGGGCTTGTCCTGTCCCTTCCTCTGGTCTCTTCTGCATTGTGCTTTCCGGTGCCTTCCTTGTGCCATCTCTCCAAACTTGAGAAGGTCCTAGGAAGCCCCGCAGGCCCCGCCCTGCCCCCCACCCCCCGCACACCACCGTGGGGCTGGTGAGGCCCCACCGCAGGCCGGGGGGCGCCCTGGGCCCCTGGCCCCCTGGCCTGCTCCCAGCACTGTTGTTCGCCTGACCCAGTCCTGCCACAGCTGCGGGGTCCTCGCTCTTGGGACTGTGCCCCCGGCTCAGACCCGGCGCGGGC